CCCTCCCCTCCTCCTACCCCTCCGAGTCGTAGCTCTGAACTGACCTCGCCCACTATTCCCTTTCACACTTCCATGCTTCTGCTCATGCAATCCCTCTGTCCCAATGATTTTCCCTTCTATGTGTCCCGAGCAAACTCCCATGCATCCTTCAAGAAGTGATTAACTCCTTCCTCTGTGTCCCTTCAGCACTTTTCTGTTCTAATTATTCATTTTTGTAAAATAAACCATTTCAGTACCTTCTGTATGCCAGGAGCATTTTTCTCTCATAACTGTCTTTCCCACCGAACTATGAAGTTTCTTGAGGGTAAAACCCAGAATGCATTGTTCTTTACAACTTTGTCTCCTTCCCTTCTTACAAAGTCATTTTCACATAGTTTCAGTAAAGAATCTGGGCTCAGGAGCCAGATTGCCTGGGTTTGAATATCATTTCCACTAATGTATGACCCTAAGCAATTTATTTAAATTCTGTGTATTAATTTCGTCTAAAAAATGCAGATAATAATAGTACCTAACTCAAAAGACTGTTATGAGAATTAAAGGAGTTTAATACCTACAAGGCTCTAAGAGCAGAGCCTGAAATATTATAAACACTCAATAAACATCAATAATATACTATTATTTGATAGTATATTATTTGATAAATATTTGATAAATGTCAACCTATTATTATTACTATTTCTATTATCAATGTTACTAATATAATTCTTAGCATACAATGCCTGGATCATAGCAGGTGCACAGTATGTTTACAGAATTGAACATGCATAAGAAACCTTCAGCCCTAAAATGTATAACAAAACAGAAATAGTCAATTAGGAGTAAGAGCTCAATTATTCCATATTCTGTAAGGTTCAGCATATGTGGTTATATGTTGTAATGTTATGTATTTTTGTGTTTGTGTCAATTGAAATGTGCTAAATTCCTTTAGTTGTGCCATATCACACAACTGCATTATTAAAATGGGAAAATATATAAAAAACAAACCTTCAAAGGCTGAGAGTCTTCTTCATCTGAATCTTTGAATTCAATGCAAATAGCAATATTTCTGGCCTGCAGCATATTGAAAAAAAGAAAACAAAAAGTTAGGATATATAAATATTTATAAAAGAACATGAGAAGCCAAAACCTAAGAGAGTTTGATACCAAAAATGAAACCTCAATCTTTACACGCACCTTGGCAAAAGACTTCTGACTGTCATATTTCAAGTACTTAGGATAAACATAAAGGTGGTTGTTGTAGATAGTGTAGGGCTGAGTGTGTTTTGGTGAACAGGGCACAAATTCCTCTACTTCAAACGTGATTGGAGTTTTTGTACAGGTTTCAAATTGCTTTATGGGAATGTATGATGAATTGATATAATCTGAAAAATTAAAAACAAACAAATTGAAGTAAAAACCAAACAAAATTTTGTCTGTTTATTACACAGAAGTTACACTTACTAGGAAAGTCTGAGGAAACATTGTCAATTGTAATGTCTAGATTGCCCAAAATCACTGGGAGCTTAGCCATCTTCTCAGGTCTACAAACAAAGAAGAGAAAAATCAAACATTTTTAAGTTAGGTGAGCTCTAAAACCTATATTCTAGAGCAGCACTTCCCAGAGAAATAGCAAGTCACAAAGTCGTTTTAAACTTTCTAGTAGCCACATTTTAAAAAGTAACAGGTAAAATTAATTTTAAGAATACATTTATTTAAGAATACATTATATCCAAAATATTATTATTTCAATAAGTAATCAGTATAAAAAGTTCATTCAAACTATTCAAAACCAGATGTGTACTTTACACTTACAGCTCATATCAGTTTGCACTTGCTGTGTTTCAAGTGCTAAAGAGACACCTGTGGCAGTGGCGACTGAGGTGGACAGCAAAATTCTAGATAACATCAGCAAAACGTTAAAGTTTTGCTGAACCGTTCCAACCTCACCATACATTCTTGGCTCATTCAGAATCATGAAAATTCAGAACCAGAAGTCATCTCAGTCTCTAGTGTCTAGCAAAATGCTGGATACCAAGCAGGTATTCAATGAAATGTCTGGTGTTTCTATTTTGTCTGCCTCAGTCCAATATAGGAATCTCCGCTATAATGTACCTGATGAGCACTGCTACTGCTTCAGCCCTTCCTGGTAACAAGGAAACGTTAACACTCAGACTGCCCTTCCTCATAGCATGGTAAATTCACCTCCCTGAAACCGCCTCTCATCAACTTATGTTTTCCTAGGTAACATCTTTCAACCATCTATAAACAGCTTTCTGAAGTCTTCCATTCTCAGCACTTTTGCACCTGCCTCCAATGCCATGTCTTTCCTAAAAAAGGTCCCATTTATATCATGGCACCCAGAACTGCACAGATCAGGCCCAGTATGGCCTGGGCAGGTGAGGGTAGATAGCTGTTTTTTTTTTAATTTTTATTATTTTTTTATTTTTAGAGAGAAAGGAAAGAAGGAGAGGGGTGGGGAGATGTTAGGGGGGGGCATGGATATAAGAGAGACTATTGATTGGTTGCATCCTGCACATGCCCCGACCCAGACTGGGAATCAAACCTGCAACCCTTGGGTCTGTGGGCTGACACTCTAATCACTGAACCAAACCGGCCAGGCCTTAAAGGATAATCTTAAACCTACTTCAAAGGGTTAGGGATTTTATTGACATCAAAATCTCACAACAAAAATTCTGCTTCTTTCCTGTGCATTTGCAAAATGATGATGATGATATATGTGTGCTACACAAAGTAAATTATTTCATAACTGAGATCAGTGTTTGATTGATGCTAAAAAGGGCACATATTCTCTACAAACTTGTAACAGTTAAGCAGGAAAACCCATCCTAAAACTGTTCTGATTAAATAAATGAATGATGTGGACACATGTAGGGTGTCTGGAATTTGGGAACTGCTTCTGTCTGTGTGTAGACCTAGGAATGAGGCTCAAACTCTCCCAGGAAAAGGGAAGGTTTTCTCTTCCCACTGTCCATACATTCCTGCTGACTCAATTCCCACAGAGAAAAGAGTCATCTCATGCCAACAGATTTGGTGTCCCTACGTCTGTGTTTCTTCAGTCAGCTGCTCTCTTCTCGACTTCCTGTATTGACCCATTAATGTGACTAATTGGCAGTGTAGGCATGCTTGGATCTGTTGTTGGTGGTGAATCTAATCTTCTAATTGCATTTTGTAAGGGGAAATATGCCCTAAAGGTGTCACTTAAAAAAATTTATATGTGGCCTTGGCAGTTTGGCTCAGTGGTTAGAATGCTGGCCCTAGAACTGAAGGGTCCCAGGTTCGATTCCGGCCAAGGGCATGTACCTGGGTTGCAGGCTCCATCCCAGTCCCGGTCAGGGTGCGTGCGGGAGGCAACCAATTGACATGTCTCTCTCACATCGATGTTTCTCTCTCTCTCTCTCTCTCTCTCCCCCTTCCACTCTCTCTGAAAAGCAATGGAAAAATATCCTCAGGTGAGGATTTTAAAAAAAAGATTAAAAAAAATTTTATATGTGATTGAAAGATATTTGAAATACTTTTGTTTAAACAAAATCACTGAATTTATGTCTATGAGAAATTTGAACCAGCATTTATCACGTCCTTAGGATGTGATACAACACACGCTAGATTAGGCACCATGGACAGAATACAAACAAGATAGGACTCCTGACCTTAAGAACCCAAAAATCTGGTAGATACAGTCAACTACCCGAGACATATGGCAACTATTTCCACAGAGTTTGTATAAACCTCTAAGGGAAGGCAGAGGTCTGAGGTATTGAGAAGGAATAGGGAATGACACAGTGTGAGAAATCACCTGACATGTATTTTCATTTATTTCCACCACAGTTCTAGGAGGCAGGGCCATTATGATCCCCTTTAAAAAGAAGAGGAGACTCAAGCAGATAAAGAGAGTGACCTGGCCCAGGTCTCCCAACATGGGAGTGAGTTACGGATTGGGCTTCAAAAGATGAGTAAGGTTGCCTCAGACAGACAGAAGCAGAAGGGAACTGCATATGCTGTAGGTGTTGGTCACTTGTGTGTAGCTGCTTCATGGGGCAGAAAGGAAATACAATTCAGGCAGAGAGCAAAGCATGGTGGAGTAAAAGTATACGGTGGGTTTAGAGAAAGGCCAGTAGCCCCACCTGGTTTGAGTGCAGGGTAACTAGAAGGAAACGGAGATCAGAATGTCAAACTTGGAGACAAAGAACATAAAGTATAAATAAACACATACACTTCAGTCTCATGCAAAAGTCCTAGCAGTGTTATTACCTAAATTACCCAAAGGTAGCATTAAAAAGGTCTACATTTTATTTTATTTATTTATTTTTAAATATCTTTATTGATTTCAGAGAGAGGAAAGGAGAGGGAGAGAGAGAGAGAGAAACATCAATGGAAGAGTCATTGATCGGCTGCAGCCCGCAAGCTGGGCATGTGCCCTGACCGGGAATCGAACCCCGATCGCCTGGATCCTAGGTCGACGCTCAACCGAGCCATGCCCAGCCAGGCAAAAGGTCTAGATTTTAAAGAAAACACTCTATTTTTATACTTCATGCCTTCGGATTTTTTGCAGAAGTGAGAAAAGACATCACCACNCGGGCACGTACCCTGACCGGGAATTGAACCCCGATCGCCTGGGTCCTAGGTCGACGCTCAACCGAGCCACGCCCAGCCAGGCAAAAGGTCTACATTTTAAAGAAAACACTCTATTTTTATACTTCATGCCTTCGGATTTTTTGCAGAAGTGAGAAAAGACATCACCATGAGCAAATCAAATAAATGTAAAGTGTATACCAAGTCTCTCTTCTTAGACAAATACTTCTTGGAGCATGTAAGTCAGCAATACCATCTGACAGAATTGTTTTCTTACTAAATCTTGGACGGTATCCCCTGGTAATGATTACAAGGGAACGGCGGAAGTGGCTCGTGAGTTTGGGCAGCTGTCTTCTAAAGACTGGGCAGCTTGAGAAAATTTTTCTCATCCATTCTTTTTTTTTTTTTAATTTATCTTTATTGTTGAAAGTATTACAGATATCCCCTCTCACTCACTCTTGAATGACATTTTGAGACAATCATGGGGGCAGAAACAACAGCTTTGGATTCAAGCTGCTGCCCAAGCCACTGATATGAGATTATTCTTTGTCAAAAAAGAAAGAGGAAAGAAAAAGAGCACTGCTAAGGTTTAAAAAATAAAAATAAAAGGGAATCCTCCCCTTCCCTAACTCTACTGTGAAGAACACAGGCAGTGGACACTGGTGTTTCTCCGGATTCCTATTGAGCAGGACAGCTGCTCCCCGAGTGCTGTGGTACCCCCTGATGCCAATAGCATTGGATCTTTACTATCAAGTTTCTGCATCTCTTACTGGCCACCTGGAGCACACTCTTCCCACAAATCCTTCCTACTGAGCACACCCATGAAGGCCTGGTGTGCGTGTTGGAGGAGGGAGGTGGTGTGCCACATGCTCAGAACCAGTGAAGGTCTGTGCTCTTTGCTGCCTGGCCTCAGGTTCTGGGCTCAGATTGCTTGTTGATTAAAGACCCGGTAAAGTCCCACCTCTGGCCTCCACTGAAGAAACCAGATCCAAGAGCTGGGGCTACTCCCCGAGAGCTGCCACTGCAGGGGAAGCCTCCAGCTCTCAGCTAGGAAGTAACCTGAGACATGGCTTCCAACCTCCATCATGTATAAAAAACTTCCTTGTTTGTTTTGTCAGAATATTAGAGTAAATGTTAGTTATAAAAAATGTCCACATAAAATCATGAAAAGCTATAAAGTGGAAAGTGAAAAGTCACCCATAAACCCATTCCTCAGAGATAATCACAACTAACAGTTTGATGTATAGCCTGTAAGACTATTTTTACACCTATCTTTCCACCCAATTAGCTAATTATGTACCCATTTCTTCATTTATATACAAAAATACATATATATAAAATACTTTCTTTTCAAAAGAGGTCATATTAGATACAATTTCTCCTCCTTAACAATATAAGGTGTTCATCTTCCTAAGTGAGTACATGTAAGACCTACATCATGATTATTGAGAATTGCAAGGCAGTCCAGTGAGGGAAAGTTGTAATCTACTTAACTAAAGGTAACTGGTGTTTTCAAAAAACAACTTTTTATTCTATGAGTAAGGCTAAAAGTTTCCTGGAACTCAGATAAAAATATGACAATAATTACTGTATGACACACATTATCTGTGACAATATATTTCTCACTATAAATAAGTAAAGGTTTATAGTAAGAAAATGGTGAAAATGAAATGAAAGAAAGCTAACCAGCCATTCCTGAGTTCTAGGCAAGCTGATATTGTTACTTTGATAGACATTTTTAAAAAAAGACTGAAAGGTTTCCTATGGTATAGAATAGTTAGCGGCTGGCTCTTGGCCATTGTTTTCATCTCATTATCTTTTAATACCTTTACTTCTTTCTCATTCTCGAATTCTCCCAGAAAAATTCTAAAACCTACATCCTTAGCAGAGGAAATCAGTTTTTATAAGTTCAGAAATGAACTCCTTATGATAGAATAGATAACAGCAGATTCTCAGCCTTCCATCATTGCTCAACCTCTTTACCACATTGTTATGGGTTGAGTTGTGTTCCCAAAAAGATATGTTTAAATCCTTACCCTAGTACCTATAAATGTGACCTTATTTAGAAATAGGGTCTTTGCAGATGTAATTAAGTGAAGATGAAGTCACTAGGGTGGCCCTAATCTAATATGACGTGTTCTTACAAGAAGGAAGTTTAGACAGACACACAGGAAGCCAGCCCTGTGAAGACAGAAGCAGAGTTTGGAGTTACGCTGCCACAAGCCAAGGGATACCTGGGGCTACCAGAGACTGGAAGAGGCAAGGAAGGACCCTGCCCTAGAGATCTCAGAGGGAGGGAGTGGGCCCTGCCAACACCTTAATTTTGAACTCTAGCCTGCAGAATTGTGAGAGAATAAATTTCCATTATTTTAGGCCACCCAGTTTGTGGTGCTTTGTTATGGCAGCCCTAAGAAACTAATACACTCATTAATATATATAAAACATTTAGAACTATGCTTATAAACAATAAGTACTATATAAGTTACCCTCCCATTCAGCTAATAGTACCACAAGTCACTCCACTGTGTAAGTCAGAAAGCTGGGACTTATTTATCTGAGACTACCACCCATTTCTCTCTCCTTCCAGCCTAACACCCAGTCAGGAAACCAAGACCCAGTAACTGGGCATCTCTGACATAACTTGAATCAGTTGCCTTCTTCCTGTTTCCCCTTGCAGTGGCTTTGCTAAAGCCCTTGCCACCTCCTGCAAAGGTTCCTCAACTGTCTCCTTCTTTCCTAGGTTCATCTCTAACCTCAACCCACCCTTGACAGAACCAACAATAACATCCTTTACAGAATTCAAACTAAACAGGTTACTCTTCCAGTGTCAAACCCTCTCTTCCTTCCCAAGGACTTGGGGTAAGGTCCATGCTCAACCAACATGCCCCATGATGTTTGAGTGGAGCAATTTAAAAGACTGCTCCTACTTCCTCCCTCCCCACCAAACAACTTCTATTTTTCAGATGTGGAAAAAGTAAGGCCTAGAGACTCACTTCCGAAAGTCTGCAAGTAACTTGAGCATGTCATCATTGGAGAGCTTGTTGCTGTCTTGCTTGTAGAGAGCAGAGAATCTGGCATTCTTGTCAAGGTTTCCAGATGTATCCTTAAACAATGTCCTGAAGTAGCAAAACAACACTTCTAAACTGAGTTTCCAAAAGACCAAAATAAATCCACAACTTAATTCTGGTTTCTATGTGAAGACTAATTATTATTCCATTGGCTGTAGCTAACAGAAATCTCATTATCTAAAAACATGGAAGATATTTATGAGGATGAACACAACTAACTCAATTTACATAGAAAACATTTCCAGCAAACGGTCTGTGCTTAGGAAACAACATACACAGTGAAATGCTTAAGAAGCAGAGATCACAAAATAAAGAGAATCTGCAGACCTCACTGGGCTGTCACCCCACTCCCAGCTGGAACCTGGAATATCAGCTCTGCAACAAACATTCCCGTTCACCCCGCCATTCCACAGAGCTACCCTCCAACCAGCACCTTTCCTTTCTGTGACTCTAGTGAGTGAGTATTCAGATATGGGGCTTATTTACTTTTTAACTTTACACATTCAAATCCTCTTTGTCTCTGGGCAATAAAAAGAATAGGTTGGTCTATAAGACTATCTATCTATCTATC